AGCTCAGGAACAGACGGAGCACGTTTGCCCTTCCTCTGTTCTTGGTAATTGGGTGGGGTGTGATGAACATTCACGGGTTTTGCGATAGCATCTAATTAAATTTTGAGATAGATTTTCCCCTATCCTGCCATTTCAAGTTTCTGGACTGGCTCTCTCCAGTCCACCCTCCTCACTCCCACCACTGCCATTTGCTTTGCTTTCTCCTTACATCCTGCACTGCTACCTTAAGCAGGTCTGTATAAAGCTGGCAGACCAGTGAGGTAAGAGAGGGGGCTGCAGCAGACATTTGCCACATTTCAGCAACTGACAACAGTCATATAAAGTTGAAGGTGAAACATAAGGTAAGAATGGGTGTAGGGTCTGTGTTGAACTGTAAGCACTCTTTGGTAGCGGTGGGCATGTTAAAAACTGTATTAGATAATAAGATGCTTGAGCAGAAAGTTTCTGTTCATCTCAGTGAAATGTTATGATTTAAATGAGGGAGCGCAGACCTCTAGACTAACTCTGTTCCTTCACTCCTGCCTAATGCATCAGAAAGATGCTATTCATCAGACTGGTGAGCCAGGTAAGAAAGCATAACTTACTTACTTTATTATTAGTGTGATTTAAAACAAAATTAATGATGGCTTTGTGTGGAGTGAAACTGTGCCTAGTGTCAGGGACTACGGGTGAGGTTGTTTTGGGTGAGGGGTGGAGGTGGGGGGGTTGTCTGTGTCCATCCCCCTTCCCCGAGGACAGTTATTTTCAGAACACTCCACTGACAATCCAAAGAGAGAACTAGGTTTCTTTATTTTTTGTAAATGTGATTTTGTTATCTACATAACTCTCTTAGTAATTAAGTTTTGGAACGTTCGAGGATAGATCTCAAGACTCCTAAAAGCCTTGGCTTAGAGTATCTGCTATATGAGTTTCTGCCAGCTTTGACTTTCAGGATATCTTTTTTTTTTTTTATTCTTTTCCTAGAAGGAAAGGAAACTGGAAGGGATGAAAAAATACAAATTTTCTTTGATAGCATTTAACTTTTCTATTGAGGGTGATGATGCAGGGCTTTGAAGTGAAAGCAGAGAGGGGTGGTGTGTTGGTGACAAGGAACAGTTTAGGAATGTCTCTTCTCAGCCTCTGCCCAAGACAGTTTGTGGTGGTTGGTGGGGGTTTTTTTTGCTGTTGAGGCAACAAGCAGGAAAGTCAAAATATGCAGAAGACAGCTTGAATTCTGGTGAATTGTGGTTTAGGTGTCAGGTGCTGGATATATGTTGTTGAAAGTATTGTTATACAAGTAAGTGCATAAATCTATTTTAACTGCTTTCTTTAAAAAATGTTAAAAATCATAAATACTATAGGTCGCAAACAACATAAGACAAGTAGTACAGTAATAGATATGCACCCACATTTATACTGTAAATCAAATGTATGCTGTTATAGAGTAGAAACCCACTATTTTTAGGAAAGTTAAGTATTTCCAAAGAGATGTTGCATTGCTGAGGCAATTCTAGGCTAATGGGAAGAGTATTTGAATTGTTCAGCAATACTCTCTTCAGTACTTGTGTCATGACAGCAGATTTCTGAAATGTTACTGAGCCAAAGTCACTCTTAATTCCCTTGATGAGTGACACAGTGAGTGAGAGCCATTATCCCAAATTCAGCTGTTCTTTTATTCTCAAATTTATGTATATTTCCCCAAAATATTAACTGAATGGCTTCTAAACAATGAAACTTCAGTCTTGTGAAACTGCTTGCATGCTAGCTGCTCAGTATTTGTGGTGTGCAATGAACAGCCTGTGCCTATTGTTTTTGTTCCCAGATTAAATCTCTGAAGGCTTTGGCAGCCTCAAGCTCTGCTGAAGTCATTGGGCCCTGAAGATGCTCACGACTTTATTATGTTGCTGTTAAAACTGTTAAAACTTTCAAAGGCCTACCCACCAAATATTGCAAATAACAGTAGCAAAACCTTTTCATTTTGTACAAACAAACACTAGTGTGACTTGGAGACCATTCCATCCTCCAGACATACATCTGTTTGAGCAAAGGGTTACCAGAAATAAGTAGTAAGGATATTGAGACCATTGCTCAATAACCACAGCCATTATTTTGCAATATGTATTGAGCTCTGCAGGGGTTTTCCTGGGATCAGAACTTGGCTGGGTTTAGTAATGTTTTCAGTTGTGTCATATGGATCATTTCATGTTATTAGAGCTGAATGCTGTTATTGGCCATTTCACAATTACCAGTTAGTTATAGATCTTGCGGCAGTGCATTTGCATGCTGTAATCTACAGCAAAATGCCGTGTATTTTGAACACCAGCTTTACCCACTGTGAGTCTCTCTGGTATGTATCGCTATCCAGGGAATGTGTCTGGGTACCTTTCCTATTTAACCTGGTTGACTGAACATTATACATCCAGGCACATTATTTTCAAAACTTATTCTTGAATGTTTAGGTGTAAATTGTCCCCCAAAAAGCATATAGATAATTACCACTTACTCAAACTGGTTTTGTAAAAATGACATGTGGGGATTTTAAGATAACCTTCATGTGTTTTTCCAAACCTCAGCCTACATAGTGCTTTGAGACACAAGTACAATCAATCAATCAGATGCTTTTTCTTGTACAGCTAAAATATATGGGTGGTTTTTTTCAATAGATTTGCATATCTTTTCAGAAAGGACTACTCTTCTTAGGCAGCAGGTAAGGAAAAGAATATGGGTAAAATATTTGGGGAGGAATGGGAAAGGACATTTAATATATTTAATCTTATTATACATGTTTCTACATTAAAGTCAATAGGCTGCAAATATATTCTGCTACAAAGCTTTGTGTAAGAAATATCTCTATAAGAAAATACATCTCATTAAACATTTCCTGTAAATAAATTATCCCAAATAACTATGTTTTGCAAGAGGAAAAGGGGGGGGGGGGTAGGCCAATGATAAGAAGAGCTAAAAATTGCCAAGAGCCCATTTCTGCAACCACCCCTGCTGACACTGGGTATCATTTTCTTTTATATGTAGTCACTATGAGAGCAGTAGAGCTCCTCTGCTGAGTATGTGCTGTGTCACTGTAAATAACACTTGCAAAATTTGTTCCTGTACTTTTTTAATATCTTGAAATTATGCTATTTCTAAGCCTTGTTCCTGTTTCAGTTACACTGGAAAAACTCTGAAATAAGCAGAGTTGTAATGATAGGACTGCAAGATAAAATTCTGAGACTATTAAAAAACAGAAGACCCTGTCTCTGAGCAATCCCTCTATGTCAATAAAAACTAACTCCAGTAGGGGAAAGAGGCATGTGAAATACTCTTCCTATTTAGACTCTTATGAAAGATAAAGGCAATGTAGCTGAGCTCTGTGTTCTAGTTAGGATGTCTGAGTCAGGTGGTATAGCTAAGCTGTAGCCTTAAAACAACCACTGGTGGAAAAAGGTGTCAGGTTTGGGTGACATGGTCTTCAAAGCTAAACTACATACTGGTCTACCCACGTTGTTCAGAACTGATGAAACAGAAAAGTCCCTTGTATTACAAAACATGAAAATGGGTAACTTTCAATGGGTAGTTACAACTTAGCAGTAGGTCAGTTATAGAATCGGACTTCTTTAAAGAAATATCAGCCTCTTTACCACTGTCTATACAAAGGAGTACTTGCAAATAAGTAAAATGAAAAAAAGTTTGAAAAGACCTGGGAGACAAGTCAAGGTATAGAGCCTGTCCTTTTTTTAACCAGTACACAAACAATGTAGAGTTGTCAGCTGTTTCGACAGTCCATGTACTTCCATCATTCCTGGCAGAACAGTCCAGACTGAGAGGACATCAAGTTCAGGCCGAATACATGCTGGAGGCTGGATATGCTGTGACATTACATGATGTTTAACAAGTTATTTGCCGTCATACCATCTTCTTACATCCTTTTCTGCAGAAGGGGTGTTCACAAGAGCCAACTCCTTTTTCTTTGCTGCCTCTAAGAAACAAATCTGTTATACTTCTGCAGAGTGCCAGCAGTAGCCCATTGCTACCAATAAAATGTAAGAATTTGAGTTTGTAGCAGTATGCTCTAAACACCTTAACAAATGTCTACATCACCTGTTAGCAACAGTGAAACAACTTCATAGCTCTTCATGTTAGGCACTCCACCACTCTGCTATTTCATTTGGAAACGTCTATAATGCAAGTATGCTTAGGCAAGGAAAGTATATTTAGGACTACTTAGCAACTGCCTGTATATAATTCTGGATTCAGCATGCATGTATTTGCTTCATCTGTTCAACCCAATGTATACTAGTAGTAAACGGAGGCAAATACAAGCGATTAAGTGCCATACTATGACATTGAACTACATAAAGCATTTCAATTTACCTATGTATAGGAAACAAAACCCTGTTTAAATGCCTCCTCTTAGAGAAACTGCTGTTCCCTTGAAATTGTGAGATGGCAAGTTTTCACCTCTTTCATGAGGGCCTGCAAAACATAGCACTCTTGTCCTGCAGGAGTGCTTTCTTTGCTGAAGTGTCAGCCCTGAATGACAAGGGCATGTGGACATTCACAGTAACTTTATTTCCATTTCTCACACCTGCAATGTGGCCAATAATGTGTTGACAGTTTAATCTTCCTGGCATGCACTGCTTCCTATAGGAGTACAATGTATAGAATTTATTCAGCAGTCATTACCACGCCGGAAACTCACTGTAGCCCTAACACTGAACCCCTGAAACATCACAGGACAAACACAGCAAGGTAAGTGACATTAATTTCCACTGTACTTGTTTGCATACTAGCATTTCCCACAAACTGTAGAAGTTATTTACAGAAGAGCTGCACAGGAGGAGAACTCCAGCTGCACTTGTGTTTACCACCAGCTCAAAAAGAAATGCATTTGGTGCGACTTCTACTCCTACCCTAACTGTTACTTTAGCCATTCCGCTTTCATTTGCAGTCCTCATTTCCCACCATGCCGTAATGCATTAAATACATAAAGCCAAGTCACTTAATACTATCTTCCCAATCCTCATTCAGATTTTCTGGCACACGTGAAGTCTTGATTTGGAAGAGGAGGTTGCATCTTTCCATACTTTGCAAGACAGCCCCTTGGCACAGTCACATCGTTGGAAAATCTCCAGTCCATGGGACCCCTTCTTGCGCTGTTTGGTGCACACCTCCCCCTGATGCAACACAGGCTTGCAAATTTTGGTCCAGAAATGGCGAGCACAGCAGTGTCCCTCAATACAGTCTGATGACCGTAGGCAGGGATCTCCTTCATGTCCTAAAAAGAGCAACCACAGTATTTTACCTCATGGGAAAATGTGAAAGTACAGATTCAGTGCAGACTGATGCAAATGAAGCTCAGAAAAAAGGAGAGATGATATTTCCATCTGTGGCTATTTGAAGGATGTAAACACAAGGGAAGATATGAATTAGGAAGGTGCAAAGGGGTGGTTAATGAGACCTGCCATAGGACTTACTAAGGAGAAATTCAGCCGCAAGATTCTAAGCAGAATTGCAAGTCCTTAATTACTTGACTGTTACAAGAGGAGGATACATGCAGTCTTGCACAACTGAAAAATAGATTGTCAGTCCACCTCTGACAGAGAAGAAAGCAGATGCTATTTCAATCACAGGAACTGTTGGCTGATGTTACATCACTTTTTGAGTCATGCTGGGAATTCTCACCGTAGACATTCATTCCCTGTGAAATTACTGCCTACTTCTGTTTTGTATTGCTGTATCTTAACAGCAATAACATGATTCATAACATGAAGGAACAAAGCAGTGTAGTGCAAATGTGATCTTACCTTTTATGTGTGACAGCTTGGAGCGTGGCCTCCCTAAGTTTTGCCATCCCAAATCCTTGCTAGCATAATGACCATTCTTCTTGTTGCGTGGCCCTTCTAGAGCAGGGATGTGAGGTGTAAGGATGCTTTCGGTTACCGGTATGCAAATACCTGCAAGGAAAAGACAATCAGTCAAAGATTTGAACAAGAGGAAAAGCAGCCGAGAGACACACACAGACCAGGACCAGGAAAGTGCTGGGTCTTGGCCTCAGCACTGCTCAGCTCTAATCACACCTCTGTCCCTGATCCCTAGCACCTAACTTCATGGCAGTTCTGCTTCACTACTGTCAGACAGTCTCACTGTCACTCTGGCTTTATGGTCTGAGCACCTGGAGACTGCCTTGTAGACATGTCTCTCCAGGCTCCAGAGGAGAGTATGGGAATGCAGACAGTATGGTTATAACCCCTCCCCCCCCAGTGAGAGTAGATCAAGGATTCATTCAATCTTTTTTGCTTCCTTAAAAATATGGGTTCCGTGCAGTCTTCCAGTGAATCAAACCACATTGAATGCAGTGCTGTGATTTCAGTCAGCAGCAGCAGCATTTTTGGGTTTCCCCACCCCAGAATAGGAAAGAAAGTCTGGTAGCCTTAAACATAGAAATATTATTAAAGAAAATGGAGTGGAAAGAAGTAGGAAATGAATTTTTCTTTGTTTAGCAAAAGAAGAACAGTTGCCCAGGAAAAAATACTGTTCCTGGGAACACTCAGAGAAATAGATGCTGTCAAAATGCTGATTTTATGGAGGAAAAATCAAGAAATGACTGATGTACCATTGTTGCAGCGGTTCCCAGGGCAGCACATGCCATCTCTGTGGCAACGCTTCTTCTTCCTCCGGCACATCATGCATGCAGACGTTGCTTGATGAGGACTGTGACAGTATCGTCCAACTTCACATTCCTTATCATTGGTGCAAGGATAGGCCTGGTGGGTAAAAGAAAGGTTTACAGTGAAACACTCCTTTGTACAAGGCACATATGCAGCCCATTTAAAAAAAAACAAAAACAAAAACACCCCACCAATCCACACCACTGAAACCCCCAAACAAAGAAACTCAACAGTTGAGATACCTTTCACTGGGGCTAGGAGTTGTGGGGAAGGATGCTTCACTGCAGTCATATAGCAATCTTTAAGCTCACGCTGCTGGTGAAGACATATCTACTTAAAGGATCAGGGAGATACAACCAGCTGCCTAGTGGTTTCATCTTTTCTTGCCTCAAACATATGTTGGCACAAGAGAACTCATATTTTTGTGGGTTCAGGCCTCTAATTCATAGACAAGAGCTTAAAACTCCACAGTGAAGAATAAACAGAGTCATAAAACTCCCCTCAGTCAGTAATAATCCTGAAACACACCCTTCAATAGGTAAAATTTTAATTTAAACTCCAAGGAGGCATTTTCTTTTGATAGCTGTCAAGCACATTGATGGATATAGTAAGTTCACTGTTCTCTCAGTGAACATCTACACCACATTGGTACAAGCTCCTTTGCAATTGCACCACTACCCACTGGCCCATCCCAGTTGGACTCCTTGGAAGTGAACAAACATCACTGATCAGCATTTCACTTTGATAACCTTTACTTCACTTATGATCTTAGTATACTCCTTAAACTTGCCACCTGCTAAACAACACCCTGTGGTATGCAGCATGGAATATATTATAGAGCACAATCTGGTCTTGCACATATAATGCCCTGCAAGCAGAGACACACATATACAATTCCTCTATATTCATCAAACCCAGCATTATCTTACAGGAAAACTGACTTTTAAAAAAAGGGGTGTGAAAGCACTGTATTCTCCATAAAGAGAGAGAAAGAAAAGTTTGTTCCTACAAAAGGAAAAGACATGATGCTTTAAGGAGACATAACAACACACACTGCCACATTCCAGGATCCTTTCTGCTGAATCCCACACAGCTACAACTATGCTCTCTGTCTGCATCTAATTTTACTGCCTATTAAATTAATCATAAATTTTTTTCATTCCTCAAAATTATACTTGAGGAGTTTGTTTAGATAAAAAGATGAGAATAAATTTTGGGCGCTTTCTGGAAAATGATGTTTACACTTCCTCAACAAATTTTCTCCAGAATTTTCAATAAATCAAAGTATTGCTTTTACTGTTCTCAGAATGACTCTTGCAATTAATTATTCACCACAAACAAAAACCTCAACTGACTAATTTTGAATGTAGGCTGATTACTTTTCTAATAATATTTTAAATCAAGGCTTGATTATATTGTTCCCAGAGAAGAAAAACTTGGAGGCTGTTGAGAATTTGCTTTGAAAATTTTCTTTTGGATGGATGACTTCTTGTTTCTCTTTGTGCCATTCTGTTGAGAATCTCAGAGGAAACAAGAGATCTGATAATAAAACCAAGCAAGTTTCTCTAGTGCCATTAGTGGGAGGGGGAGCCCATGTGATTTCATTAGTTGTTTTCTTTGTCAAAATTTACTTTACAGTACCAAAAGTGCTGGCTGGACATTCCCCAAGTGCTTCTGCCCCATTACTTCTGCCCTCTGAATATGTGTCTTTGAAGAATGACTCCAGAGTGCAGCTGTTTGGAGTAACCTGATATATGTGTAAGTCTTTCTCCCTTAAGAATAAACATTTCCTCTTGAGTTCATCCTCTTAAGGATGAACTCAAGAGGATGAACATCAAAGAAGGCCAGATCTTTTAGCTAGGACTAGCAATAAGACACAAATGCAAGCATTCACCTGTTTGGTACTCTTAAGTGGATTCTACCTATTCTAGCAAAGCGGAACCAAAGTGCCCTCCCCTCAATCTCATCAATCCTTTCCCTCATTTTTTCAGAAAGAAATCATTAACACTGATGTACAATTTATGATATAGTTACCATAAAGGTAAGGCTTCCCTGACTTAAATGAGACGTCACTAAACTAAGGATCTTAGAATGCAAAAAAGCAATTTTGTATAAACCTGTGCATGGTTATACTGAGTTTGGAAAACACTGACACTGCTAGCTGGGAGAAATGCAAATAAAAAACAGATGGACTAGCTAAAACCTGGAGATGAAGGCATTTTAGACCCTTGTCTGTCATCAAGACCTTCATAACCGCATCTTTTTTCCAATATGGGCATGTGGTATACACCTGCAACTTGTCAGCAAGAAGCCTACTTGCAGTTTTCTTTTGGTTCCTCAAATAGCTTTTAAAAAAAAGAGTTCCCTGATCCTGAGTGGTGCTAATGAATGCTCTCACATACCATATCTAGCGACTGTTTTACTTTTGGCTCTTAGGCTGATGACATGTAAAAGATACTTTAAGATACACATCTAATTGCCAACTCTCAGCTCTGTCTTTAAGAACTGTAAAAGCAACAAAAGACAATTTTGACATTAAAAATGGCCAAGGAAAGTGATGTAACTCAGACTTTAGTCCCACTCTAGAGCCTCATCCTAAATAAAGATGACACTTTCAAAATGAAAAAAATAAGCCAAAACGTTGGCCTACCTAAGGCAAATGACTGCAGCACATCAAAAAATAATTGTGTTACATGTAGCTCAGAAAACAACTGGCAAGTCCATTCAAAATGCCAAAAGACCAGCTGCCAACCAGCTAAATTAAAAACCCTCTTGCAAATGCCTGGTGCCATCAATTGCCTTGATCTTTCTTCCAAAACCACCATCTATTTGATATCATAGCTATCAATCACAGGGAACTTGAAACAAAAATGCCTACGTAGCCTTATGTCTGTCTCCTAGTCACTAGACATTCATTGGAGTAACTCCTGCTCCCAGCAAAGTAATTTCTATTGCTGCGCAGCATTCAGTATTAAAACACAAAAAATAAAACAAAACAATGTAGTGTGTACATAGCCTTGGCTAACAGGAGCGAAAATGTGTTCATAATTGTCCCATTGTTGACAGTAGCTGAGCCAATCTAGGTATAAATATGTATATATTTTTTAAAATACAGGATAAAGAAAACATTCTTGTAAAAACATACATGCTAACAATTGTCTCTACATGAGTTAAGGTTTTCAAAATCTCCTACACCAGAGTGCCTGAAACACAGGCTTAACGTTTAGACAATTGCAGAGAACATTTCCTATATACAACGCAAAGACACAGATCAGTCCCAGATGGAGAGGCAAAAAGCAAGCTGTAAACCAGCTCTACTTCCCCAGCAATGATAACTAATTCTACAAGGCACATCATCCCTTCACATTCTTCAGTTATACGTATCATTTTCTGGTCGTAAATCTCTATCCACTAAACACAGCTTTGATATTATGGGAAACCAGATGAAACCGAGATAAAATATGTAGCACTCCCTGAAGCTGCATTTAAACAAACTTATTTAATTTTTTTAGCCCAGATTACAGGCAACCAAGTCACCCGTAGCATGACATAAACTAGATTTGCCTGTGATAATGAGTTGCGTTTTCAGAATACGTTGGCTGATTAAGAGCATTGCTTGCTTAGATGTTTTCAGTCATTCCAATTACTTTTGTATCCTTGTATAAAAGATAGTGTTGAATGTGTGTCCAAAAATGTACAGCAAAGATGTACTGGATTTTTTGCAGTGTTGGAGGATTCAGGCTACATATTTAAGTGGGTGCTGCTCGTGGTGTGCCATAATGTCCCCTGCATCAGTTCACCAAGACCAACCTTTGCCAGCCAGGTCATAGCAACATGTAAATGTTAAACTTTTCTTTTTGAGAGAGAGAATATGAATCTCCATTCCTGTCCTTCCTGAATTCATATTCAAAATGCCAAGAGTGCATGACAGAAATATTCAAGGAAAATTATGCAAGTGATAGAGGAGAAAAGTTGGGGATTTTTGTAGTTGAACAAGTCCTTCCAGGCTACTGAGGCTCTTCCTTTTGTATTAACTTCACAGTGAGGCTGAGGAAGGGACTAACTATCTAACTTTAGTGACTAAAGTGGCTAACGCCATTCCCTTGATTTGAGGAGCATGCAGGAGTGAGGTTTATCTCTACCTTTGTCTTCCCCTTTTGGCAGAGGAGATCTAACTTAGCACCTTTTCTTGGTGCAATGAGGTTTTCTTGATATTTTTGCTGGAGTCATTTGCTATCCCACATATTTTATATGGTTATCCTGAACCACAGAGTTTCACCGCAAACTGGAGCAGTACGAAGTGGTGGGACTCTTGCGCTATGGAGTCAGTCAGTCTGAGTCTCTCTGTCCGGCACTATAAAAAGTAATGGAGAAGCACTCTGGGGGAGAGTAAGACAGACGCTGTAATGTGCTGAAGGGTGAGTGAGTAGACTGATGGCAGACACACTTTACTGAGCTTTGGGAGATAAGGGCTTGAATTTCAGCATGGCCTCCAGCAAATATTTGAAGACAATTCTCCCGGCCAGTGTCTTAGTCACTAGGCTCTCGTTTGCTCATATTATGATGTCTCATTTGTTTTTATGCTGAAGTTACTCCATGCTGTGCTAGCTATGTCAGAGAAAGGCAGGAAGAGCCACTGGCATTTTTATCTGGGTTGTGTCATCACTTATCCAGCACAAGCAGCCCTAGACACTGCTAGCTTCAGACCCACCTTCAATGGTGAGAGGAGCTGTGCCTAGATAAGTGATTTGGTGGAACAGATATCAGTAGTGGCTCCCCCAGAAGCAGTTAACTGTTTTTTTTTTTTTAAACACATCATAAAGTCCAAGTGCAGAGTCAGTCCTGGCAGGAGATCATGGCTACTACCACTCCCAGCAGAAGAAACAGCATGGAGGTTATTCATTACCATTTTACTGTGGCTGCTGAGCAGCAGTCAAGAAGAGAATTAAAGTCTCATGTACCACATAAATGACAATATCACTGGAGTTACTGTACTGGACACTCAGTCACCAGCTCCTGTCTCATACGATCATTCCATGATGGTACCGAGGACTGAGTCGAAGAACAGGAGAAAAGCCACAGCCAGAAAGTAAGAG